TCCCTCTGCCCCTCCTTGCCCTCTCTCTCTCTGAAAAAATAAAAAATGATAAAACAATTAAAAAATAAAATGTCCACAGATTATTAAGTAGGTTTGTAGCAAACAGCCATGAGCAATGGCTCTGAGTTCTGAAATTATGTGATTAATCATGATCAGTCTCTTGGAAGACAAGTGTTCTACTCCACTGAACAACAATCTTGCTTTCTCCATGGCGAGAATTATGTTTAGAGCCTGGAACTAGAGACAGTCCCTAATTCTAGACTTAATCCAGGGACACAACTGGGTTCAGAGGAAGAACTATTTTATCATATGTGATAGATGCTTGGCATCAGATGGGAGTAGGAAGATGGAATGAGGATGCCAGTCTCTCTCACATCTTTTCTGTGTGTGAGCTACACCATGTCCGGTGGGATGGCATCACCGCTTTCAGTCTTCATTCAGAAGACAGGAAGAAAGGTCACTTGAACCCACCATGCTGAGCATCAGGTCTCTGTTGAAATGGTGCTAATGCGGAGAGGCCTCTCCTGACCTCCTTTAGCAGCTCACTGGGCACCTGTTTCACCTTGTCATGTTCATCTTCATCAGGGCACTTGTCACTAACTCATACATTTTTGTTTACTAATCTCAGGGGAGGGGTGTTGTGAATGATCTCTCTGCCTGCCTCCCCACCTCTAGTAGAGTATAGTAAGTTCCATGGAAGAGTGACCTCATCTGTCTTGGTCAGTGCAGCAACCCCAGCACCGAGCACAATGGATCTTTGCAGACACCCTCAGTGTTTGTTGAATGAATAAATAAGTGTAAATGGATGGGCAATCTCAGCCCCTCTTCCCACACCTTGGCTGCTGCCTGCCCTCATTTCCCTCCAAGCACACACCAGTTGCCTTCAGCATTAACTGGGCTGTGATGTCTGGTGTGATTTATTAGGTATTCGAAGGCATGGTTTCATGCATCCCCTTCTCAGGCTTCCCACCTGAGATGCTGACTGGGTTTAACCTTTTGAGGAAAGGTGTGCAACACTCTTCACTTCCTTTTCATGAAGCAAAATTCATCATCTTCTAGATCACTATTTCCGCCATACACCCCCACCACACAGAGGCACACATGCATATTCTTCTCATTTAGATTTTTTGCTTATTTGCTTGTCTGGCTATAAATAAAACTGCACTTTGATTCGCATTCTGGTTCTTTCCTGTACAGAACTTGGGAACTCTGTCAATAAGTGGGGGTGGGAATTTCTGACAGAGCAAGATGTGGAAATTCCTGAATACCTAGCGATGATACCATTAAAATAGACCCAAATACCATACTGTTTTGCTCTAGTACAAAAATTTGATCATAATTTTCAAACCAAACAGATCTCTTGTCACATAATGGCTGATAATTTTGCAACCCATGTGTTAAAGTATATTGTCCTCAGTGGGTTCCCATTTCAAACTTGGCACCTAAAACCTCTGATATCACAACTTCCCTGAAATCACTGAAATGATTTTTTTTTTATTTTTTATAAACATATAATGTATTTTTATCCCCAGGGGTACAGGTCTGTGAATCGCCAGGTTTACACACTGTGAAATGATTTTAAGTCGCAACAAGAACAGCTGAAGGGAAAGACTAAAACCCATCATCATATCAGGACTCTGGAAATGTACCATGAGGACCAAATAAGAATGGAAGGACCAAGGTGGCAGGGGCTAGAAGTCTTTGTCCTCAGAATCTACCATCACCACCCCATTCATGCCCCAACTAGTGCTGTCCCTCTGGAATGAGGTTTTATGGTTACTCTCTATCCATACGAGCAGACTCATCTTAATGAAACATTGTGACTGTCACTTTTACTACTCTGCCTTACAGCATGTCAAAGATCATTTACAATCGTTTTGAGTTGTAAATTGTACCTGGTCTAAATAAAGTGGACTTTATGGCAAAGCTAGGAAATTATTTCAGATCTTCATAACTCTTTGGACACTTACCTTCAAAAAGTCTGTCTGTGGCATCTTAATTATTTTGCTGACTGAAATATTTGCAATTAATGTAGGACAAAGTAATTTTCCAAAATACAAGTTAACCAGATATCCTGAAATTAGTAATGAACACTCCTACCATACTTCCTCTTCATAATATGTGCCAAACTCCAATTCATCTGAAATGAAATTCTGTGTAATTGAATATTGCTTGGAAAAAAAAAAAGGTGGCCTAAAAGGGACTTGTAGATTTTTGCCCTACCGATGCTTGCTGATTTCAGGTTTAATTTATATTATTTTTTATTGTTTCTATTACTTTCTCTCAAGCTGTAGGAAATCTTTCATCCTTAAGATAGACCACAAAATAAGCTTAAAGTAGATTCAGAAATAAAATTCTAAAAGACATTTCAGTAGATTTTGGAGCCTTTGATAAATTCAAATCTAAATAAATCAAGATATAAGACAAGTAAAACTTCAGTCACATTTGTAATCACAATCTAATATGCTAAAACTAACATGAGATTTGAAATATATACATCAAAGTCTTTCTTGGGAAAAAAAGTAACAAAGCAAAAATACCCAACAGACAGCCTATTACAGTGTAGTGTGGACAACACTGGCCTGTGACATAATGCAGACCTCTGTCACCTAAATGCAAAATAATGAGCTGCACTGGACAGCTCTGTTTCTGTTTTCCAGCAAGAAAATTCTATGACACTACAGCATGGAAAGTGGACAGAAAGTTTAAAAATGTAGCACCTAATTTCACTCGGAGTAAGAAATGGCCTCATACTAGCTTCAACACAAACCATGAGAAAGCAGAAGAAAAATGCGCCATTATTTTATTCATGCTATTTTCCCTCATATTTATTTCTCCCTTCATTTTCTTATTCCAAGTTTGACATAATAAAAATTAGAGAGAATTTCCTCTCAATAATTTCCCAGCTGGCACTACAATGACTGGCAGCAATGTCTTCAAGCTAACAAAGATCTGGTTAAGAACAACTGAAAAGTTGCAAGAGCTTAATCAAAAGCCTGTTTATAGACAGCACATAGAAGTGTTCACACATCCTTAATTCCTTTTTTTCAGACCTTTGGATGGGGCTCCTTATAGGGCCACCCCAGCCGTTTACCTGAAAGATACTGCCTGGTACTTAAGACGAAGCAGTAATATCTCCACATAACCTAACACCCACCTCCCACTCTCCTACCACCAAGGAGCCTATTTTTGGAATTCTATTGGGAAAAATAAAAGGCAAACTTATAAGTTTAAATACTAGAAGCCGCACAGTCTACAGCCCTCCTACTTGCATATATATATCTGCTCATTGTTTAACTATGAAGTTATACCACATTGTAAATGATAGAACAAACTCAATGATAAAACGGAAAGAATGGACCATCCTTCCTAACACTGCTGGGCTTTTATAATTCTTACAGAACTTTCTGAAGTTTCTGCATCTCTGTTTCTAGACTTAAGGGAAGATAAAACTATTTCTGAAGAGCCAACTAGTTCAATCCAAACAACAGGCTGAGAGAGAGGTGGTAGGTGGCAGGGGAGGCAAGGGAAGAGGCTGCCTTTCAACTAGAGATTCTGCCAAACCACAACACAGCTGCACCATTAACAAGTCACTGGTGGGACTGTGAAGACATGTGGATGGCTCTGTCTCCAGAAGTATGAGATCGTGCGTATCAACTGCTGAAACTGGACAAGGCAGCCCCCGCTGAGCAAGTCATGGGGCTAGGACTCCACATCAAGGACCCTCATCTTTGCCCTGTGTGGGCAGCTTGGGAAGGCTGCTCCGTCACCCTAAGCCCCTTCTTCTCTATCAGTAAAATACGAGTTGTAATATTAACCTGCCTGACAAAACTCTTACAGGATTTACTAATAATAGGGATAATAAAATAGTTGTAAAATTTAAGTGCCATAGAAATGCTAAATTATATGAGCCGGGCCTGCCAGGGCAGTCCGTTTCTCTTCTGATATCATTTAAAGCATATTTACGGGTGTATTATCTCTTTCATGATGCCAAGGAAACAGTGGCTTCATGAAATATTCCTAGCCTAGGAAGGGTAACAGGAAATGCTTCAACTACTCTGCCAGGGATTAGGAAACACTCTCACTTACATTCTTGCACTAGATCTTCACAATGAGCCTGTGGAATAGACTGGGCAGACAAAATCATTCCCATTTTATGGAAAAAGGAACTGAGGCCCCAAATTGTTCACTAGCACGGCCCAAGGTCATTTAGGAAAGACCCCACGCTAGAGTTCAAGTTTCCCCACTCCTGGCCCTGCCCCCTGTTTTAATTCACTGCACCACCAATCAAAATGGGAAGGAATGGCAATTGCTTGATGGATTAATTGTGATGTTGATTTATTTCTGCTCACAGCTGCTGACCCCTTGCTTTGGTTCCCTACATTATCACCTTATTTAATCTCCCACTTAGGAGGAAGGTATAGTTTCTTTAAAAAAGTTTCACTGATCACCTCTGCTGCGAAAGAGAGCGAGAGCGAGAGAGAGAGAGAGAGAGAGAGAGACCACTTCTTCTACGACACATACCATTTTCCTTACAATTCTCATGCAAAATAGATCTTAGCCCATCCTCTCGTTTAGCTACATTTCCACAGGTACACTACATTGTGGTGTCCTCAAGAACAGCAAGCACACCAATCTTTGCATCTCCCATGCTACTCAGAGCAGCACAGTATGCATCATAGATGCTCAATGAAGATGTTCTGCTTGACTGATTACAGGTATGTGATTTTTAAGAAATACTTATATGGAGCCAACTTCCACAGTAATAAATATTTTACATTCCTGAAAATGAGAAATCACAGCTCTTTGGTTATTTGAGTGAACACCACATTAGCTGATTACACTTCTGCTTACCATTATTTGAAGCCTCTGCTGTACCTTCGAAATAGACGTCTTCAAGGCACAGAATATGCCAGTGGAAATCATGTTATCGTAAGAACAAGTATGTCCCATGCGGCTGATGCGCTCACCCAGAGCCTTTTTGCCTGATGGCTGCTTACCTGATAACATATTGTCTGTTTTTATTGAGGGGAACTTCAAAGTCATTTCATGCTTGTGTCTATGAATCATCAGATGGTCCTCTGTGGGGAAGCGCTGTCAGACAAATAGAAACAAAAAGGGGTGGGGGAGGGGAAAGGAGCCATTCAGTTTTATAATGCATATTTGCCATCACAGAGAAAAAGTTGTATTCAGCATTGCACATGTGACAGGCAAAACAAAAAATCAGTTCTGAAAAAGTGTGAAAGCTTGCTAAGTTAAATGCCAAATTATTTTTTGCAAGCAAATGTGCTGAGATGTTCCTTTGAATTGCACCCAAATATATGCATCATTATTTCCTTTACAGTTTACCAGGGGCTTAAATAGGTTGCAGTAAAATCTGGCTGAATAGTAATAAGAAATAGGAGACCTTTGCCTGCCATCATCTCTGACTCCTCACACCTTCCCCAGGAATTCCTTGCAAAGGCCTCGACTTCCTAGTCTTTGAATATAATCAGCTGTGATGACTCATCAGTCAACTGGGTATTTCCTTAGGAACTAGAGGTTTGCATCTGGGGAAGACTTTAAATTTGTGTTTAGTTAAAGAATAAGTGAGAAAAAGGTAATGAGCAATGCTGAAAGTATTCAAGTATTCTATACAATAGAACTATGTTATACCTTCGAAGAATAAGAGTGTTTGGATGAATGCTCATATATATTCACAAAGAAATTAACGGTGATATCATGACAAAGTAAATTCTCTCATTTTTACCTATATATGAGAAGAAAATATGTCCAAATAGAAAAATGAATTTAGACCTAAGTAGCACTGGAGTTTCGCAAGATTATTTGGAACTTTTGTCTCGTAGTTACTGTTCTACGTAACAGTATAAAATAGTATACTACAAAATAGTATGAAATAGTCTAAGCCATAATAAGTATGCTAGATGTTATCTATAGATTAACCAGAAGTAGGAAAAATGCATGAAGTAGGAAAAGAATTTTGATTCATGTCAGACATTGGGAAAGAATTACATGTCATGCTTAACTGTTTGACATAAACACCTACAAATATGCCTGTAACATTTGTATAGTATGTTCTGTTCATGAAGGCCTTGCACACCACACTCATTATGTGATCTTTTAGAAATATACAGATGACTTATAGTCATATGACAAAGAATTTTTAGTATTCTATATTCTGTACCATGTAGTAAACCAACACTTTATTTTTAATTTTCGGAGAGTGATATTACAGTTATTTAAAATGCAGCTGTCAGGGGCGCCTGGGTGGCTCAGTGGGTTGGGGCCTCTGCCTTCAGCTCAGGTCATGATCCCAGGGTCCTGGGATCCAGCCCTACATCGGGCTCTCTGCTCAGCAGGGAGCCTGCTTCCTCCTCTCTCTCTGCCTGCCTCTCTGCCTACTTGTGATCTCTGTCTGTCAAATACACAAAATAAAATAAAATCTTTAAAAAAAATAATAAAAAAATAAAATGCAGCTCTCAAATGTTTTCAGTTGTCTGGCTTCTGGTCACATGGTAGGATTGGATTTCCTGGCCTTTTTGTGGTTGAGTGGGGCCATGTAACTAGTACTATCCATGGAGTCATGAATGGAAGTGACATGTCACTCACATGTCAGCACCTAATTCCTGGTGCAAGACCCTCTCCCCTTTAACATGGCAATTCACAATATTAGAAATAGTGACTGCTCAATTATCCTAAAGCTTTGAAGATTTATAAAGAGCATTTCTGAATTCTAGATGATTATGAAGAGGGTCCTGCTGAGTTACAATAGAAATGTATGCCTGGCAATTGAAATAAGACTTTGCTGTTTGAAGCCCTGAAGTTTTGGGTTGATTTGTTATTGCAGCACATCCTAGCCTCTCCTGACTCAGGCTGGTATGTTTTAATAGCTGAACTTAACAGAGCATCTGCTTTACCAAGGTCAAATGAAAACACAACAAAAGACAATAAACTCTGCTGAACATTTCTGAATCTTTGACAATTTAGAAAGTCTCCCAGAGCTTCGCATTTCCTCAGGATAGTCATTAGAAGTTTCAATTACCATTATATACTGTCGTAGAAATCTTCTCTGCAAATAGTACAGATTTGTGTTCATGTGAATGAGGTATTTCACTGGGCTAAATCCTCTGGAATATTCTGAAAGTAGTTTGGGGAATAAATATCACCTAGTTATTTGTCATTTGTATCATATAAATTGGAGCATATAGAACCTGCAAAGCCTGGCAACTATGTCAAGTTCTAACTACATAGAAGTCTGATTTATAATGACATGGGGTTTTGCTGCAGCTTCATCTATTCTCTTGCTCCTTTATCACACCTTATAATGACTACATCAAAAATAGGACACTACCATGTGTGGTTTAGAGACAAGTTAAACTTCTTAGTCTTTCTGTTAAAATCCATATTATAATTTTTATTGGGATATATATAATCTAGAAACAACATGGTAGTATCCTACATTTCATATTTGTAAGCCACTTTTTGGTTCCATAAAATAATATCCTAAAACAGAATATTAACCTGATTACTTACTAAATAACAATAATTTCCATAATATGTCATATTAACTATAAATACCTCCTCAAAGAGACAACACAGGACATCACAGGGCTTTTTTAATTTAGCAGGAAAAGAGCAGCAAATTTTATGTAACCAAGATGTCCAATCTATGACAGATACACAGCTGAGAGAGACCCCTTGAACTCAAAGCATGTTCATGCCAAGGGCAAAGGAGTGGTGAAATTAACAATGGACTCTGTGCGCTCAGGAAGAGCAAGAGAAGCTTCTCTTTACTCCTGGAACAAAGCTGCATACAAAAAAACTTCCTGGTATTGTAGACCATTCCTAATAGCACAGAGCTTCTTTCCATGAGGGAAAAGGGGGAAATATCCTTCCATCACTGCCAAAGTAGCACAGGCACTGGTAACTCACATAAACTCCCCTTCCCAATCCCCAGCCATCATTTCTTCTCCATGCAGGTCCCCAGGTTCTGGAAGGTCACTACAGTAAATGCCATGATTACAACAATGGACTTAATTGTGATTTGCTAACACCCCACCAAGAGACCCTTGGAATCACTAGTCAACTGCTACATTTCCTCAATTCTAATGCATCTTCAAATTGAAAGATGCACACATTTTTTAACCAACTTGTCAGAAAAAGAAACACTTTCACCTTAAAAAAAAAAAATCAAGTTTTAGATGCAGCTTCGCAAGGGGTTGGGGGAAAAGGCTTGGAGTTTTTCCTTAAAACCAAGAAACTATGGAAATCCTCAATTCTCATTTTGTCCAACCAGTTCACTCACAGCCTTCTCAAGGAAATGACCTGTTCTTTCCCTGAGTTCAAGGTCATTAGAAATGCACTCCTCAACCTTCACTACCGTCTCTACCTCAGAATTTGCGTATAACTTCATAGTGCTGCTTCCATTCCTTCCTGCCTCAGAGGAATAGCACCCCCTTCTCCCTCATGGGCTCTTGCACACCCTTGTCTTCTGGGGGTTTGTGCTTCAGTTGTGGATCTTCAATCCAGCATGCTCACTTCTCCTTGCCTTTGACTAAATCCCGCCCAGCTAGCCTTTCATTTTAAAAATGAAGGCTGCTTCCTTCCCAGACTACCATTATATCACTGTTTCCCATCATTCCCTAGTGCTCTTGAAAGAGTCCTCTATGCTGGCCACCTCCACTTCCTCACCACCCACTCACTCTTAATCCCTTCCAACCTAGCCCCCACCCGGACTCCTCTCTCATAGGTCACCCGCCAGGACCCAACTGCCAAACCCAACAGCTTCTGCTCAGTCTCTCACTGTCCCGGCTCTAGCAGCGTCTGACACCAGTGACCACATGTCTGTGGCATTATTTATTTATACCCTGCCTGATTCCAAACAGGAGAAAAGACAGCTTACAGCAACACATAAAATGGAATGGGAGAGCATCAGCTAAAAATCAGGGGGCCCCCCAAAGGAGAAGGGATTTTAAAAAAGCAAAACTAAAGTCAAAACGCAAAAATCATCAGGCAGCAGTCATTCTCAACTGGGGGCCATTTAGCAATGCCTGGAGACATTTTTGGTTTTCACAGCTGGGGAGTGGCCCCTGGGACCTAGAAGGTAGAGGTCAGGGATGCTGTCAAGCATCCTGTGATGCAAGGAGAGCCCTTCACAACGAGGAATTATTCTGCCCCAAGAGTTACCGGTGCCAAGCTTGGGAATTTCTGCCACGCGGCCCATATTACAGCAGCAGTAATAGTAACAATGGTGAACTCTAATTGAGCATTTATTATGTGCGGTCCTTACACGAAATACGTGCAGTATCTCTTCTAATCCTCGCAATGATTCCACTTGATGGGAACCTTTGGAGGCAAATAGGTTTACTCTCTAGCACGGCAGGCCAACTTCCCCTCTTAAAGTTTAGATAAATGGAAAAACTGTGGGTTCTAGAAAAGTTACAGGGGGCTTATTGTTCTCAAAGAGGAAAACAAAACAAAAAAACAGAATTCAGCTCTGATGATGAGCTGTTTCACCAGTAATCCAGAGGCCCCATATCAAGTGACTATTGTAAAAGCAGCATCCTCCCTCCCCTTTCTGAAATAACAGTCCTGAACATCTGGTGGGCAGGATGTGTCTGGCTGACTTCCAAGGGAAAAGTTAAGGATGGAAATGGCTAATGCTGATGTATTTCAGGGGCTGTGAGGAAGCAGTTCAAACTATCCAAAGTAGAAAATAGTGATAATGAGGAGGAAGATGGTGAGGAAGATGATGGCGGCGGCGGTGGTGGTGGTGATGGTGCAGGGGGTTCTCACAGTATCTTAGTGAAGAAACAAAGCCTACAGCAGGCGAGACTGCCAAGTGAGAGCTGTTTCCCTGTCAAAAGGCAGCTACATCCCTGGCAGAACAAGAACAAACCAAAGGATCCCCACACTCACCTGAGAGCAGCCCGGGGCACTGCAGACGAATGGCCTCTCCTGCTCTAAATTCATCTTGGATTCCTCATAAATCTGTAGGGACAGGGGGAGAGGGAGGAAGGAAAACAGAAATCCATGAATATCCCCTGCTTCTACCTAAGAAACTTGAGAAAGACAATTGCTCGGAGCCCCTTTCTATGCCAATCCCCAAATTAGACAAGATAAACATGAACGCAAGCCTGGGTCCCGCCTTGCTGAAGTTCGCCAGGCTTTCTGCCGTCTGCGCTCCTATTGTTTGCCTGAGTGTAGATTTATTGTACTTTGAAGAAAAATGCCATGGGGCTGTTGCAGCAGAAATTCTGCCTCTGGAAAACCACCTGGACTGTGTTATTACCTGTAAGACTGCACCTGAGCAAGAAGATTCCAAAGCAAAGCTCACACCTGTCCTTTGGAGCTGGCTACTTAGAAAAGCAAGGGAGGGGACAATAACAGGATTAGCACCAGTGTGGTGACCAGCCTGAGCAGCGGTCCAATAATTCAGCCACGATCACCCTGCCAGTCTTCGGGATGTGGGGAGAAACCTTATGTTATAGTCTCTGTCCCATGTTACATTCCAGTGTGCTCCCTTCTTATGTAGGGAAAGTTTATCTTATGTAGGGAAAGTTTATCTTATGTAAGGTAAGTTTATTAGGCAAAAATTGAGCGTCATCAAAATTACCTTTACAAGTCTTCCCTAAAACTGACATAAGTACATACACACAGTTTCATGGTCACTAACCTACAGTAACATAAAACAATGCTTTTTGACAAAACAAAGGCGTTCATTATAGGAACATTCTCAAATGACTCCAGAGATGTTCACAGGTTTATGTGTTTTTTTTACATAAAAAAATTTTTAAACATCACAAAATACTATGGAAATTTAAGTTTCACAATTTAAATCATTTTCTAAATCTTACTTTTTGCTAATTTTACAGTTGAGTTTAAATAAGCTACATGGGCTGCTGGTGGGACATGGCTCTATCAAGGGACTAAAAACTATTGCTTTATCTCTGAAGCACAGGAAGGATTTTGCTTCCTTAAAATGATGTCTGTAGGTGAAACCAAAGGAATCGCAAGTCACCTTCACCCTCGAAAGAGGGAACTCTGCTTCTACTCAAGAAATAGCTACCCTTCCTCCAAGGAAGCTTTACTGTCTTGCAAAAAGCCCCAACGCTCTTCTGTCGGTCACTATACCCTTCCGCCAAACACTAACAGACTTTCTTTGGGGAATAGGTGCATGCTTTCACTTTCCTGAAAGGCAAAGCAAAAAGACATGCCTTAGATAACACTCCTAGTCAGATATTAAAGAACAAAACAAATTTACACACGCAAACTCTTCTTCACGCTGCCTCCTCATTATACAATTTTTACTAAGTACGACCCTTTCCAGTCTATGTCTGGAATGACAGCCCACTCACCCATCACCTACCAACACAGTAACTTAGCATAATTTTACAGCTTTCCTGGATCAGGCACACATTGTGTAAATTACTTTATTACATTTAGAATAAGCGAAAAACACAAATATCTTTAGACGCTTCCCACTTGTCCTTGTCTGAGGAGAGTCATGAGTAATTAAAATAACTTCTCAAATCTCATTATTCATTTGATTTTGCCATCACTTATCACAGAGCATCTCTCCTCTCCCCCGTGAAGGCTGGCTTACATCTAAGCCTCAAAATAAAGGGTTAGAAAGTGATTTTGATCCAAGATAGAAAAAAAAAAAACAGAGTAATTGGGTTATCCATTAATTAAATATGCTTTGTTTTTCTAGTAAATTTTTAAATGCTTTCCTGGAACATTTCTGTCTCTGTGACCATGATCTGCTTAACTACACTGCCTGGTCATTTAACTGCTTTCGAACTCAATTTCCCCTTCTTTACAATAAGCCTATGAACATAATCTTCAGCTCCTTCATTTCTTTTTTTTTAATTAACATATAATGTATTATTTGTTTCAGGGTACAGGTCTGTGAATCATCAGTCTTATACAATTCACAGCACACACCCTTCCCAATGCCCATCACCCAGCCACCCTATCCTTCCCATCCCCCCTCCCCTTCAGCAACCCTCAGGTTTTTTCCTGAAATTAAGAGTCTCTTATGGTTTGTTCCCCTCCCGATCCCATCTTGTTTCATTTTTTCCCTCCCTATCCCCCACGACCCCCTTACCTCTCAAAATTCCTCATAACAGAGAGATCATATGATAGTTGTCTTTCTCTGATTGACTTATTTCACTTAGCATAAAATCACACTGGTCAGTTAGGAGGCCTGTAAGACATGCCCGAATTAAGGAGAAAGGTCTTCATATTTAAGTGTGTGGTGTTTGGAGGTGGGGCGGGGGAGGTTCTGTGAGCAAGTATTACCAGTACTAACATTACCAGTACTAACATTAACTCTTCCCTATTAAAAAGAGAATTTGCTATAAGGTGAGTCTTTCTCAGCTACCACATAAGAGTTTTAGTTGCTAAGGTAACCAAAGAATGCCAACATTAGTAACATTACTAACCAATATTAAGATTACCTGATAGTAAAACGGGAAAGTTCCATATAAATACATTTATGGTATGCAGCTAAGAGTAGTAATTAGTGATAATAATTAGATTAGTGCCTAATTAATGGAAGTGGTCAAGATTGGAAGTGCCACTACTGAAGGTTAAAAGAGATTCATCAAAAATCCAAAGTGAGGAAAGAGCTCGGCCAAGCCCTGCCAGGTAAGGGTGGAAAGAAAGCATTTTTCTACCATAATCACAACTCTACCCCAAACCCTACTTCACCAAAATGCTGACTTTCCCCATAAATTCAAGCCTATAATGGTAGGAGTACAGCATTTCTGCTTGATATCAACATTAGCTGCTTTATCTTAATTATTGGTTACCATGGGCTGTAACCACGGTGTAATGTACACATGAGCTGCAGTGAATACCACCAAATTATTCTACAGTGTTGATGCTTGAAGAAAGAATAAGCTCCAGGCATGCAGATTTACTCTGCCTTACTGAGCCCTCAGAGTATGGATATTACATTTAAAGGAATATGACTAATCTGAGAAATATAGTCAGATTTAAATAGTTTAGATTTCTGTCATCAATATATTCAGCTGAGCGATCACTGTCATTTTACTATTGTATTTTTTTTTTTAAAGATTGTATTTATTTGACAGAGAGAGACACAGTGAAAGGGGAACACAAGCAGGGAGAAGCAGGCTTCCGCCGAGCAGGAAGCTCGATCATAACCTGAGCTGAAGGCAAACACTTAACGACTGAGCCACCCAGGAGCCCCTATCTACTACTGTATTTTTTAAACATGAATGAATTGGTATCCATTTATTACACGCTACGGATGCCATGGACCAAATGCTTTGGCAACACAGTGTTGGAATAAAAGTCCTAAGGTAAAACGGCAGTTGCTAAAATAAAATGGGCTTAAGTGATTAATAAAGTCTGAGGTGAGTGGGTGTGTATATGTAAGTGTGTGAACCTCAACTGCTTTATTTTGATGCACTGCGGTTCCCACATTTCGCCCTCTGCAAACAGCACGCCCTTGCTCATTCCTTGCCGCGTGGGTGTTTGCGATAGTTTTACTAAATGGTACCACTCTACCACACAGGTTTCATTACTTTTATCAACTAGTACGATCTAGTCTGATGTATTAGTGAAGGACCATTGGCCTATTTTTATGGCCTATTATTAAAGTTCTTTCCTAGCAAATAGTGTAATAACTCTTCTCTCAACAGACTCCTCCGAAAGCCCTGCAAATACTCTTGCATCATCCATCAAGTGGGGCAAATCCCCCAGCCATGATTTTGGCCACGTTGTTCTGCATTAAGACCTCAGAAGTCAGGCCTCATCCTCTGATTTCCCATTCTGTTGTTTTACCAGCTGGGACATTTTAATGGACCGAGTTTTGTTTGGCAATTGCCATACCCCAGGCTCCACTGCATCGAGCTGACGTGGTAGGCGTTCAATAAATATTTGTGGAATGGATAATGAATCCTGAATCATCATCATAAACCACCCCAAACAGCGTGCCTTTTCTCCACTCCTAAGGCAGTGGTTCTCAAGCTTTTTGGACCAGAACCAAGTTTTCAGCAAGGCAAGAGGTTGTGCAGACCCCTTATTCCCCCCATTCTTGGTTAGGACCAGAGAAGACGTTTTACCAGAGTTTGTGGGAAAAAAAAAAAAAAATGTTGAAATGGCTTTTGGTGAAAACAACGAGACGAGGCTAGTTTTCATTAAATGTCACGTGCAAATGTATTCGTTCATTATAAATTCAGTCTGTTAGTATTGCCATGGACAGTGAAGCCAGTAAAGTCCAGCCTGTTAGCCATGGACTGGCTCCTTGTGATCCCTACAGAGCACCCATTGAGAAATACTGAGTGACCCCATACATTTGGTTAGATACAGTCATAATTGTGGCAGACACTGTCTAATCACTTAGAAGTTTCTAAATAGTTCTATTTTTTTTTCTTCCTCTTCTCCAAAGTTCAAATTCAATGCTCACTTAGACCAAATGCCTATGAGTCTAATTTCCCTTCAAATTTTTGGAAAACAACACAAAATCCTAATAACAAACCCTAATAGTGCATACAGTGAGTAGAGGTTTTTCCTAGTTGACAAGGAGATGACAGGCTTGATTTACAATTCAAACCCTCAACTGCCACTGGATTCCTTGGCCTTGAAATGAGCAAGAATCTCTTTCATTGTTCAGCGTTTGACCCCACAAATTCCTCCTGGTCTAAAATGGGAAATCTTCCACAATGGCTGATGCAATCCATTCAAATGCTTTGCTGGGCCTTTAGAGATATACTTGGAATTACCATTTCATGAAAGGCAAATATTGCAAAAAACAAATGTTACTAAAAACTTGGAGAGTCTGCACCAAATACCGTAAATATGTATTTTAAACAAGGGCAACAACAGAGCTCAAAAGGAAAAGAACCCCATCATCTTGGTTTGTTGAAATCAGCCAGGAGTGCTGCCTCCCTGTCTACATCATTGGAAGCAGTTACTGATCCTTAGTTACCATCCACCTCCAATCTTTGATCTCCAAT